ATTACATGAACATACTTAAAATTAAGCTCCAAAAAAAATTATAGTTTCAAAAAACTAAAAAACACGCTTTCTATAAAAAAACAAACTAAAAAATAGAAAAGAAATAAAAAAAAAGCGTTGGGTGCCTGTTGTCATTTTAATTTTTTTAAATTAGTGTATTGTCATCGGTCCTCGATATATCTACTAAGTTTGAACGAATTCTGACCGTTTAAAGTCAGTCAAAATCACGCCCAAAGGAGTCGGTTACAAACATACAAGTGAAGCTAATATAAAGCGTGTAGAAATATGTATATACATTTAACTTCTAATACCGTAGAGTTAATTACGTTGTATTATTATTTTTAAATTTGTATCCCATTATAAATGAACTGTAAGTTAATATGAGAAATAAATTTCTTTAATCCGAAATATAACCTATGAAATAATTAAGGCTGTGTAAAGGAACACCTGTGTCTCGCATTTCTAACGATCAATATTGTCTATGATTATTTTATGAATGTCATGTGAAGGGGCCGCGACATAACATGCGCTTTTGAATGGGACTAATCTCTCCCGCACGCCCATTACTGTAATTCCTGTACACCAGGATCAACAGCAGTGACAAACCAACACACCGAGTTTTGACACTCAGGAAGTCCCAGAACTGTTTTAGCAACCGCAACGAAATTGATCAGAAGTAAATTGGAGGACTTGGAAATATAATAACTCCAGTACCCTCTATCATCATCATCATCAACAGCCTTTAATAGTCCACTGCTGGACATAGGCCTCTCCTTAGAAAGAAGGTTTTGGCCTACTATACAGTTCCCATAGACAAATTCAATTTCTACAAGAGCTGAATGACGCAGAAAACTAAAGAATTAGAAAGAACGAATATTGAGCCGGTTTTCGAGCCCTGCAATTTAAGAGCCGCAAGGTTCTTGCCACCCTTTGAGTGACACCCTGCAGAATTAGAGGGGGGAGGTTGTTTTCTACGTACCACACTTACTCGGTGTAGTAAGAATAATGTAAAGGAAAAAAAATGGCGTGTTGAGGTCATCTGATGGTATGCGACCTCCACCACCCATAGATTTTTAAGACTACTGCACCACCCTTTATGTGAACCAACCCCATAAATTAGTCAAGAAGGGGGTTTGAGATTCCGATAACCTCATCCTATTGTAAACATTAGTCATGTAGGTCACAAAACTTGCTATGCTATTAAATGGTCACTACAATATTGTTATAACAATTTAAATATAATTTAAAATAAAACAAAATATTCTTAATTAAGGTATAAAACAATAACGTAAAATCGATACTCAATACAAACAACTAAAATTGGAGTGTCTGTTTGTAATATTAAAATAACCGCTTTTTACTAAATGCATATGTATGTTTACACGGTACATATGCCAAAGTATCATTTTTTACAATTTTTGTCTGTCTGTCTGTCTGTTTGTTCGGTAATCTCTGGAACGGCTGGACCGATTTCGACGGGACTTTCACTGGCAGATAGCTGATGACATAAGGAGTAACTTAGGCTACTTTTTTTTAGACTAGCTTCGCCCGCGGTTATAACAACAAACGTGGGTAACACCGCGGGTCTCAGCTAGTACTCTATAAAATTGAAGTGTCTGTTTGTAATGTCAAAATTATAGATTTTTTCATGCACTATTATTACATACATACATTATACTATTTGCACGATATCTATACCTACAAAAAAGATTTTTTTGTCTGTCTGTCTGTATGTTTGTTCCGGGTAATCTTCTAAACGGCTGGACAGATTTCGATAATATTTTACTAAGAAGTAGCTGTGTACATAAGGAATAACTTAGGCTATTATTCCTCTCAGAAAAATCCTTTATAATTTTGCCCGGCCCAGGTATCCAACACGCGAACGGAGTAGCGGGTACCAGCCACTAGTTAATATTTATTTACTATGTACTCGACGTAATAACACAAGGGTAGCTGTTATCAATTCTCGATCAAGTGGATCAATCAAATTTTTGTCATAAAAATTTCCTTAATAACATACAATAACTGCCTTTAAATTATGATTAATTACGAGTGGTCGTCTTCATCCCTTAATTTACCACCGTCTGTGGCTGGATGGGGTGGGCGACTGTCATGTCAAATCAGTATTTATCTGTCAAAACGATAGATGCGATATAATAATAATATTCTACCACATTCACACAACGCAATCTAGTCCCAAACTAAGCAGAGCTTGTACTATGGCTACTAGACAACTGATATAAATACATATAAACTTTTTTTTGTAAACACATACATATTATACATAGAAACACCCAGAACAAATCAAACATTAAAAGTTCATGCACACAAATGTTTAAATTGAGCGGGAATCGAGCTCTCGACCTTTGGAATAGCAGTCTGTTACACAAACCACTGCGCCATCCAATCGTCAATGTTTAAATTTTATTGTATAAAATAGTAAGGTGTGACGTAATACCTTGGTATTGTCAAAATATTTATATTTAACATTGACTTGAATATTTAAAAGCATTAAATTTAAAATGATGGACAATTCAAGATGATGACCTATAGATGACCTATAGATGTAACATTAATGGTTCAGGCGAAATAATTTTTATAAACCTAGGAATGCACCTTACTGCTACTGATTTTTAATTCAAAATGGCACTAACTTAGAGTAGAACCAATTGCATTGACAATGACCACCAATGGCAATCCACCAGCCACCACCAAACAAATTGCATTGCAATTTAGAAATAATTGCCAAAGAAACATTCGGTCGACGTAAAAATTAAAAACATCCACCATTTTTTCAATTTCACATCATCACATCAGCAGCCTTTAATAGTCCACTGCTGGACATAGGCCTCTCCTTAGAAAGGAGGTTTTTGGCCTACGATACAACGCTGGCCAGACGGGTTGGTATAGGGTTTGTTTCAAGTTTTCCTTCTCTCTGCAGTGCTGTTGAGCTGCGTAGTTTGGTCCCTTAGTCGGCTCTTACGATACCCACGGGATGAATAGGGGTGGTGACACACTGTATTCTTAATCCGTCACCACACGGAGTACTCGATTCTATACGATACGGTCACTACACTTAAAAATAATTTACGTCATTGAATTTAATGTTATTAATTTTTTTATTTAATATTTTTACATTTAAAATTACTTGCTCTGACTGTTGGATTCATTTTTTTTTCTTTTTTTTAAAAAGACAACTCTCGCATTAGGAATATATCCTGTGTCGCGGGGGACTTTACAAACATACATGAAACGGACACAAAGAACACCAAGACTCAGAACAACAATTTGTGGATCACACAAAGTGTCGTCCCATGTGGGGTTTGAACCCACAACACTCGGCGCAGTAGGAAACGGCGTGGCGACCACTTAAACCACTACGCCATCCGTGCAGTCACTAAACAACACAGAGCCTAAACCGCTGGAGCTACAAACTTGTAATTTTAACAGCTGATGCTTTTTGTGTTGTAAGCATCATCATCAACAGCCTTTAATAGTCCACTGCTGGACATAGGCATAGGTTTTGGCCTACTATACCATGGCCAGACGGGTTGGTATAGGGTTTGTTTCAAGTTTTCCTTCTCTCTGCAGTGCTGTTGTCCTGCGTAGTTTGGTCCCTTAGTCGACTCTGACGACACCCGCGGGATGGATAGCGGTAGTGACAATCGGTATTCTTAATCCATCACCACACGGATAAGTTGTAAGCACTGACTAAGAAATAAAAAATTAACAGTTGTATGCAGGTTCGTCCTTTTCAAAGTTAGAAACACGACATAAGAAATAATCACGTGATCTAAGCCGTGGGTAATAGCTAACACATGATTTTCATTTCTCCGGAGCATCTGAAACTTTGGCCAATTCCTGATCACCATCACATGCTGGAGAGCTAGAGATTTTTAACCTCCACGTCTCAGACCTACATCTGCTAGTTTAACCGGCAGTCTCACCCATTACGCATAGTCAAATTAACATCTTCTTTTATGGTGGAGAGATTACACGATCAGATGGCTCACATGGTAAATAACACAAGTGCGTGGCCACTAGACATGGAAATTACTGCTACTTTAAATCATATTCATATGATGAAATGATTTGTTTTAGTCAAAGCGATTTCACCTGTGATTGTGATCTGGTCTTCTTTTTATTAAAGATTGCGACGTTTTTATTAGACTCGCCAAAGGTCTACTTTTGGCGAGTCTGGAGAGTCTAATAATTAGGGATTGATAGCCAAGAGTCTCGACCAACACCTTAAGAGGCTCACGTTAGACGGCTGGTTCAAGGGTTTGACGCAGAAGGAAATTCTCCTTGACACGGCCTGTATAGTGAGAAGGTTCTTTTGGAGTCCTAACCATCGGTGTCTTGGTCCCTGTACCCGATGTCGGTGGTCTACTATTTTTTTATATTTTTAAATGTATTTTTTTTTTGTAATATATTTTAAAATATTGTAAAGAGAATAATAATAATAAACACACAGTGGTTTGTAAATTAGTCACAGACGTGTTTATAAACAGGTAATTGTGATTTTATTGCATCCATAGTGGGACCCTTTAGTGACCCCTACCCAAGTACCCCCTTAGTGTCAGGGAGAGGGGAAAGGTTAATCTCACTCACTCGGTGTTATTTAATGCAGCGATTTTTTTAAAAAGGCTTTGGTATTCATCATCTTCAACAGGGCTTAGCGGGCCATTCATAAATTACGTCACACGGTCAGCGAGGTGTGACCTTGTGTGACAAGAGGTGGGACGGGTCCTAAGTTTTGTGACGTCACATTTCAAAAACTAGTATACCTAAGTATTCAAATGAAAACTTTGAATTATTGATAGTAATACAATTAATCGTTTTGTTCATTTTTTCAATCGTTTTTTTAATATAAAAATTTCTAGAGTAAAATATGTGATGTCACACTGATGTCACAAATGTGTATAGCTGTGACAAGGACGGGGTCAGGGTCGCCGCAATGGTAAAGCTTGTATTGCCATAAAAAAATGATAGTGACTTACCTATCGAAGGTCTGACGATGCACACTGGTAGATTAGTGTGGTTATAAACTATGGCTTCAGCCAGCGCCTTGGTCAGTGTGTACGGGTTCGGGTGGTCACCCTAAAGAAAAATAAAATTTAATGTGGCACTAATAGTTTCAGCTTTTTATTGCAACTTTAGTTGCTAAAGGTTGGCCAGACAGCAGACGGGGTGAAATTGTGACGAGGGAGTACGCTCCTTTCTTGATGGTTCGAAGGTCGTATCGGTCTGGAAATACTGCAGACAATAATTTGTTCCACAGATTGGTTGTGCGAGGCTAAAAGCGCTTTGAAAAGTGGAGTGCCTATTATCCAAGTGATGAGGATGAACATTTTGAAGGACCGATGGCGAAAAGTTGCGGCCGGTATCCTTGGAGGACTCTCATTGCTCGTCTCATGGTCAGCACTTGGCTAGCGGCTTAATTGCTTGTGTCGCCTCTTCGATACCCTGTTCGCTTTCTGGCCCAACCATTAGAGAGATCTGTTATGAATCCAACTCTAGCTAACGGTTAATCAAGATATGTCAGACTAAAAAATTTAAATTGTCATTTAAAAAACTATTTAAAAAAAAAGCGTCCATACGAAATTTTCTTTGAAAATGAAATTTAATATATAATTACCTGTAGTGTCTCAGAAATAATTTCAACAGTCTCTGCTGGCAGCATCTTGGTGCAGCGCACGATACTGTCAGGGTCATACGGTGGAGGATAAACTCGTTCTTCAATATGAGGCTTGGTGGCGTTACTATACGCTGTTGACACGTGGACCAAAGCCTATAGAAGAGTTGGTATAAAAGAAATCAGAATAAGAGTAGAGGATTGTAATTACGAGTATTCTGGCTTTCCTGCTTCTGATGATTTGAATTCCCATTAAATATCCAATGAGATATTTAGAATGTGTCGACTTTATAATGAATTGTTACACCAATATTTGGATATCCTTGACATTAAATATGTTCAAATTAAGTAAATGTAAAAACAATGTTACGAATATTATATAATTAACGTTGGTCTGATTTGTTATACATTTTAAATTTCACACTTATTTTTGTGTTAAGTTTAGCTTTAACTTGCATGTAATCTGATCTTATATCACCTACATTGCTATGTTATGTACACATACTTACGAACGTAGTTAAAAACGAAACTGCTAGTGTTAGCTATTTGTAAGACTAAGTTTTGTGTTATGTTCTTTTTTCGTGTGCCTAAATAAAATAAATAATAAAGCCATTCAAAGAGTAAATACCAAGAGTAATACGAAAACAGAGAAATGCTTGTAAACGCGGTGTACCTTGTTATGAGGTCCAAAACTCGAGCAATTCTAAAATACTATTTTTATTTAAACATACTTATCCATACCAATATTATACATGCGGAAGTGTATCTGTCTGTCTGTTACCTCTTCACGCTCAACCGATTTAGATAAAATTCGGTACAGAGATAGTTTGAGTCCTGGGAAAGGACATAGGATAGTTTTATCCCAGAAATCATCATTGAGGGGGTAAAAGGGGGTTGGAAGTTTTTACGAGGAATCAATAACCGCTGAACCGATTCAGGTGAAATTTGGTATGGAGATAGTTTAATTCTTGAGAAAGGACATAGGCTACCGCGATAACCGACAACGCGGACGGAGCCGTGGATAAAAGCTAGTATATTTCTAAACATTACCCCAGATACAGAACAAACTGTTCGTGTTCATCACACAATTATTTGTCCTGGATGGGAATCAAACCAACGACCTCTGGTTAAGCAGTCAGGATAACTAACCACTACATCATCATCGTCATCATCAACAGCCCTTAACAGTCCACTGCTGGACACAGGCCTCTCCTTACAATGGAGGTTTTGGCCTACTATACCAGACTGGCTAGACGAGTTGGTATAACCACTACCCCCATCATATACTCCAAAATCCAACTCACCTTCAACTTGGGCATATCTTCGGCTAATTTTAGCAAACTTGCCGTTCCCTGAACATTTAAGACGGTGGCTGCATGCAGTGGTTCTGTAAATCTGACAGTGGCAGCTGAATGAAATAACGTGGTCACTTTTCCAAGCAGTTCCCTTTGCTCTTGACTGACTCCAAGGTTTGGAGCTGATACGTCGCCTGTGATTGGATACAGCTTGCCGAGACGTTCAGGCCAACGAGCTCTGATACGATCAAAGACCTGAGAAAAAAAAGATTCAGAACTTGGCTTTAGTAAATATGCTTATCGTTTACTGTTTGCAGCCACCAAAAATGTTTATGATAAAGACCTTAGAAGTAATTATTACTTAAGGGGGCGGTTTGGAACTCCGGTAACGTCACTAACTCCGGTTTTGGTATCACTCCGATCGAGCTGGTCCATTTATGCCAAAGCATGACGCTCAAATGGCATACAAAAAATAATACCACGGCCTCAAAGAGAACCGGAGTTCCAAAGAGGTTTGGAACTCCGGTTTTCTTTGAGGTCGTGGAGGGGAGGGGAGGCCCTCTCCCTGCTTCTAGGGAGGACTCGAAGGGTGGCAAATCTTTTGCGACTCTTGAGTTAAGTGTATCCATAGGCGGTGGCCACTTACCATCAGGTGACCCATCTGCTCGTTTGTCCCCCTTCTTCTTCCTCCGAGCGTTTTTCTCAAAGTAGGTTAGAGTTACCTCGTTTACCCCTCATATCGCATACAATAAAAGAGAGTATTTATAACTAAAAAAAATATTTAATCTCATACGTACCTTTTAAGAAATCAAATTTCGTGTCACCTACCTGATTCTTTAGGAGCTCCTTATACCTTTGGTCTACTGTCAACCCTCTTTTTGGTCGCATCAGAACGTATATAGTCTTTATTCCTGGACAACTCCGCAGCAGCTTTTCCAAGAGAGCCTTGCCAACGAAACCAGTACCTCCCGTTACCATGACGACTGAGTCTTCGTAAAAGTCTGATATCACTTCTGAGGACTTGTCTGGTTGTTCCAGGTTGCCGTGGTTCTCGTAATTGAGGTTAACAGCGCTTAAGTCATTACCATTCATCATTTCTAGATGTTTCCTGTTAAAAATACACACACAAAACTGATTTTTGACTACATGAATGGCACCATGGTTTAAGCGGTCACCTCGCCGCTTTCTACTGCGCTGAGTGCTTCGATCAGCAATTTGTGTGAATCACAAATTGTGGTTCTAAGTCTGGGTGTTCTTTGTGTTCGTTTCATAGATGTGTGTTAAGACATCCTCGACACAAGATGTATTCCTATGGCGAGAATTCTCTTTTTACAAACTGTTTTATTTTTTATTTTCCTTTGAGCGTGTTTTTGACTGACTTTAAACGGTCAGAATTCGTTTAAACTTTGTAGATATATCGAGGACCGATGGCAATACACTAATTCAAATAAAAAATATATCTTAAAAAAAACAAATATATATATATATTTATGGAACTACAGTATCACATAAAATAATCGATTCAAATGTAAAATCACGTTTAGAAGTGTTAGTATAATATATGTCGTTTAAAATCTTAATAACATATTTGAAATGTAAATTCCGCTATCATTGTTTTGATAGTCGTATCTGCTCACGGATTGATAGCCAAGAGCCTCGTCCAACACCTGAAGAGTTTCACATTAGACGGCTGGATCACGGGTCTGATACAGAAGGTAATTCTTCTTGACATTGACAACAGTCTTGGTCCCTATATCCGAAGTCAGGGTTCTACTATTTTTTATATTTTTAAATATGTATTTATTTTCTATTGTTTTATATTTAAAATGTAATTAATATGTATATACATATATGTAAGAAAAAGAATACAATACTTATGAGCGCCTTAAACCAATCTAGGCAGATCTCGTACTATAGTAACCAGGCTGCTGATAAATATACTCATATATTTCTAAATATATACATCTATACTAATATTATAAAGCTGACGAGTTTGTTTGTTTGTTTATTTGAACACACTTATCTCAGGAACTGGTTCATATTATACTAATACCAAACTAGACAGCGTCTGTAAGTCTGTACAATATTCAGCTGATAAAAGTAGTTTTATGTTATTAAATACATACACACCTATACTAATTTTATAGATTAATAAAATAGATTAGATAATAGAATAAGAAAGATTATAGTTTTTTTTTTTAAAGACATCTCCCGCACTAGGAATAAATCCTGTGTCGCGGGGGACTTTACAAACATACATTAAACGGACAAAAAGAACACCCAGACTAAGACAACAATTTGTGAATCACACTAAAACTACTGATTCGATTTCAAAAGAACTTTTAGTGTCGGATAGCTAGTTTATCGAGGAAGGCTATTGATTGTATGGTATCACGCTACAACCAACAGGAGCGACCATCAATCAAAAATGATGCAAAAACGGCAAAAATTTATTTATTTTAAGAGATGTAAAGGAAGTTATGCGGGTCAACTAGTATTATAAATTACACCCAGACGCAGAACAAATGAAGTCTCTGAAATTATAGACGACTTAGGTACTGATACTACCATGGTGTTGATTGTATTAGTACTAAAGCCCTCAAGTACATAAAACATCATCATCAACAGCCTTTACTAGTCCACTCCTGGACATAGGCCTCTCCTTAGAAAGGAGAATTTGGCCTACTACACCACGCTGGCCAGACGGGTTGGTATAGGGTTTGTGTCAAGTTTTCCTTCACTCTGCAGTGCTGTACTCCTGCGTACTTTGCTTCCTTAATAGCCTCCTACGACACCCACGGGATGAATAGGGGTGGTGACACTCTGTATTCTTAATCCGTCACCACACGGACAGCATAAAACATATAATTATTAAAAACCTAACCAATTGCCTAAATAAACTTTTGGTGGAAGGTGTATTGCCAAATAAAGGTATATTATTAATATTATTAATTATAATTAATTAATTATTAAATACCTAAAAACTAGCCAAAGTGTTTATATTCAAAGCTGGTAAAAAATCTGACCCTGGAATTTATCGGCCTGTTTCAGTGTTAACAATACTATCCAAGATACTACCGTGTGGTGACGGATTAAGAGTACAGATTGTCACCACCCCTATTCATCCCGTGGGTGTCGTAAGAGGCACCCAGGGGAGCAAACTACGCCGGACAACAGCACTGCAGAGAGAAGGAAAACTTGACACAAACCCTATACCAACCCGTCTGGCCAGCGTGGTGTAGTAGATCAAGACCTCCTTTCTAAGGAGAGGCCTATGTCCAGCAGTGGACTAGTAAAGGCTGTTGATGATGATGAAGAAAAAAATATGTATGCAAGATTAGATGACTACCTAACAAAAGCGTTTTTTTTTTACGAACAGCGATACGGGTTTCGGTCCAAATCAAGTACACTCAGCGCAGCAATAGACTTAGTAACGACAATCAAAACAAAAATTGATCAAAAACAAATAGCACTAGGAGTTTTTATAGACTTGAAAAAAGCGTTTGATACCGTTTCCCAGTTTTTTGTTGCTTTTTTTCTGCAAAAAAACCTGGAGGTCCTCATCACACAATTTTTTCTCCTGGGTAGGAATCGAATGCACAACCTGTGGGCTCTGGCTCAGAAGTCAGAATCATCATCATCATCATCAGCCTATCGCAGTCCACTGCTGGACATAGGCCTCTCCCATTGCACGCCACTTAGATCGATTTTGGGCTTCTCGCATCCAGCTCCTGCCAGCCATCTTGCGCAAATCGTCGCTCCACCTGGCCTGTGGGCGTCCTACACTACGTTTGCCGAGACGCGGTCTCCACTCAAGAACTCGTTTTCCCCAACGGTTATCGGTTCTGCGGCTAATATGGCCAGCCCACTGCCACTTCAGCTTGCTGATCCGGTACGCTATGTCGGTGACCTTAGTTCTCTGCCGGATCACCTCATTTCTGATGCGATCCCTTAGAGAAACGCCGAGCATAGCCCTTTCCATAGCACGTTGAGCGACTTTGAACTTGTGGACCAGCCGTACCGTAAGTGTCCACGTTTCAGCTCCGTATGTCATGACGGGTAGGACGCACTCATTAAAGACTTTCGTCTTAAGGCACTGTGGGATCGACGATGAGAAGGCTCGACGTAGCTTTCCAAACGCTGCCCAACCCAACCGAATTCTTCTGTTCACCTCGTCCTCGAAGTTGTTTCTACCTAACTGCAATGTCTGCCCGAGGTACACATAATTTTGAACAACTTCGAGAACGGCACCGTGTACCGCAATCGGTTCCGGTAGTACATGTTCGTTGAACATGACCTTGGTTTTATCCAAGTTCATCCGTAGGCCGATGCGTACAGAAGTGTCAGCTAAGTCATTCAGCATTTGCTGTAGGTCCTGCAACGTCTCTGCCATGATGACGATGTCATCTGCAAATCGCAAGTGAGAGATGTATTCGCCATTGATATTGATGCCACGCCCTTTCCAGTGCAGCGTCTTGAACATGTCCTCCATTGCATTTGTGAACAATTTCGGGGAAATAACGTCCCCTTGTCTCACTCCTCGATGCAATGGTACGGGCCTTGTTTGCTGATTCTGTACTTGGACGGACATGGTGGCGGCTTCGTTGAGACATCTCATCACTTGGATGTATTGCCAATCTACTTGGCAACGCTGCAGGGACTCCAGAACAGACCAGATCTCGATCGAGTCAAAGGCTTTCTCATAGTCCACGAATGCTAGACACAGGGGCTGATTATATTCTTCGGTCTTCTGTATAATCTGCCGCACTGTGTGGATGTGGTCTATGGTGCCATATCCGCTCCGAAACCCAGCTTGCTCCGGTGGTTGGAATTCGTCGAGTCTTTGCGCAAGACGGTTCGTGATGACTCTCGAAAACAGCTTGTAGACGTGGCTTAGAAGGGATATGGGTCGGTAGTTCTTCAACCTGGTCTTGTCACCCTTTTTGAAGAACAAGACGACCACACTCCTACTCCACGCTTCTGGAGTTCTCCCTTCAAACAGGACAGCGTTGAATAGCTTTTGGAGCTCCCTTAGTACGGGTTTACCAGTCACTAACAGAATAAAGGAAGTCAGAATCCCTAACCATTGAACCAAAAGGCATCAAGTAGACATTAGTACTTACTGATACGCATCCATTTTGTCTGTGTCAACAATTTTTGTGTCCATTTTTGAGCTGTTTCTTCGCTTCCAAAATATTAAGACCTGCAACAATAACATGTAATTATATTTAAAAAAATATGTTTTTTTTTCATTAATGATAATGATATTTATTTCTGTAAGTCTACAAGTTTACAAGTCCGACTTTAAAGCTAGAAGGAGCCACCATTTCCTAAGAAACACTCTGGGAAGAAACGCCGAAACAATCCACAGAGGTGTCTTTTGTTTTAGTCCGTAAACAAAGTTAAATAAATCTGTGCTAGTACAGTATAGGATCTGGGTTGGTGTTTTGAAGAAAAGACCATAATTTTGAGTCGGCCTCCGATATTGGTTAAGAGAGACCCGAAGCACGACACTACCGCGAGCAGGACATTTGGCAGGCCATGGGTACACTCAAAATCACCAGAAAGTTACTAAAGGATAAATGATATTTATTTCTGTAAGTAAATCTTTTCAGATATTTTTACAAGTCGGACTTTATAGCTAGAAGGAGCCGGCATTTCCTAAGACTCATTCTGGGAAGAAACGCCGAAACAAACCACTAAAATATGAATTAATATTACTAGCCTACACTATACTCACATTTAAATACTTAAACAAAAAAAACCTATACTGATGGTTACTGATGGTTTTTATGTTGTAAGTACTCATTCAGTAAAAAGTTTTTGGAAATTTCATCCCTAGGGGGTAAAATAAGGGATGAACGGTTGTATGGAAGTTCGTCCCTTTTCAAAGTTAACACGTCAGTGAAACCGCAGGCAATATTAATTAGAAATAAAGAATCATTTATTTGCACAGAACACAGGTGGGACCAGATTTAACAGTGGCGTATTGTTCAAGCTATATTCTGCCTGTATTAGGCATGCAAATATTTATATTCAAACACAAACATGAAACTATTAATAACAAAACATCAAGATATTTCCTAATTACATAT